CAAAAGACAGGCATATGAGTTGAACATTTACCTGAGGTAGATACACTCCTTGGAGAGAACAATCATGGGAGAAAGAAGGGCTGTTTATGCACAGGGAGGCAGCTCAGGGGGCAGGAGTGCATGGAGGGATGGACACAGGGAAGAGGTAACTGTTGGGAGGAAGTGGGAGGGGAGTTGTTGCATTGGGGTAAAAAAAAAAAAGATAAAAACATTCATTTCTTTTCTCAGTCTGCACTGCAGGTTATTTTCTGCCACATGAACTAGAAATCCTTCATATTTCACTTAACTTTCTGTCTTTTAAGTTTAAGGGTCCCCCTCTAACCCCTTGTTCTAGGTTACTGGAATTTGGCAACCAGAACCAATTTTGCATCAGTTGGAGAGATCAACTGTTTCTTCTCAGCAGGAAAGAGTTAAAGCAGGGGGTAAAAGGGAAACTAGAATGTCTCTCTGTGCCTCCTAAGTGAGGCCTTCCCAGTGTGGTTTCTTTGTATTGTTTGAAGGTACTCCCAAGAGCAGCAAACACTCTCAACTTCAACAGCAACTACAAAGAAAGTCCAAAACAGAGCAGGAATGGGTTTTTGGATTGTCTGCCACTTTGGACCTTCCATGTTAATGCTCTCCCCCTTTGTACAAATAATTGGCAGAGCACTATAACACCAAGATTAGCAGGTCAAATGATTGCTCAGTGTACCTGAGTGCTTTCACTTAAACTAGTGACAGGAAGCCACTGTATCTTTTCTTGGACTTAATTTAACCAGAGAGAAGACTTGTTTCACGTGTAAACTTGAGATATTGGGAAATTAGTACCTTTATTCTTTGAAAGACCAAAGACAAGCTTAATGAGATGGCTTTTGAATGTCAAATGGACTGAGGTGACAGCTTTATAAATATATGGACACCTCTAAGATTCTGAAGGAAATCTCAAAAACCTAGGCATCTCTTTTTATTTTTCAATCTGTAAAATGAGGTGTTGAACTAAGCAGTGGTTCTCAATCCTGTCTGCACATTAGAATCTCCTTGGGAAACTTTTTGAAAAATACCCATACCCCCCATGCCCGAGACTCCCACCGATTCTGATTCAGTTGATATGAGGTAGGGCCCATATATATATATATTTTTAAGGTTCCCCTGTATGTGCAGCCAAGGTTGAGAAGTACTGGAGTAAGAGATCTCTAAAGGCTCTTCAAGTTTAGATATGCTATGGTTCTCTGATTCTATTGAAGAAATTTTGTGTTGACTTGTGGTTTGTTTTATTTGATGCGGTTGGAAAAGTATAGTGTAGAATTGAGGGGGGTGGCAAATAAACATTTTTTCTTAAATTTAACTGCCCTTTAAAATTTAATCAGCTAATTCCTTGTTTTGGAAGGAGGCAGAGAGTTGAGTTAGTTTCTGGAATGACTGTTGGTCAGTCTGATCGTGGGTATTTATTTCTGAGCTGTGTAAGCCAAAGCAGGCCTTTATCTATACAAAAGGAAGATCTTAGTGATACTAATACAGTCAAGATTACGTTGATGGCAGGGTGTGAAGCAAGACAGCTGAGGCTAGAAAACTACTTGGCTAGAGCTAAAGAGGATACTGGGAGGGAGCTTACGTCAACAGACCAAACAAAAAGGTCCAGTGGGTCTTCTGAAATGGTCTTCTATTAGGAACATTCTAAAGAAGATTCATCATCTAGTTTCTGTTTAAAATAAATCACATTTAATAAGAATTGATACTGGAAGATCTGCAAGTCTCAGATAGTGTGCTTGGAGTAGCAGACACCTAAGAACAAAGGACAGGCTTTTCCAAGATGTGCTATTATATCACATGACACTGACACAAATTCACACTTTGTACACAGAAATGCATAACCTTTGGGATTGTACAGGAAACTCATCCCGTATTTCATAGATAACCTTTGAAATGTGAAAGGAAAGCCAGATGAGCTGACTGCCAGGCAGAAAGAGCTGTGAATGGCAGATGCAATGGGAGCACGGCATGATCCAGCTCGGGGACAGAAGATGAGACAGGGAGCAGCATGAGCCTCACACACCCAGAGAGAACCCACTGCCTTCATCATTCTCCATTTTCTGCCCCTTTCTGCCTCTCTGCTTCTCCCTGTTTTCCTCTCATTCACTGTTCTTTTTCTCTTCCTGCATGTCACCCTCCATTCCACTTTCCCAGAACTTTTTCCACTCTCCCACCTTTTTCTATATTCTTCACAGCTCCCTTTCCACCTCTCTCTCTCTTGCACGAGTCATCTTTTTCACCACAGAATCACAGATTGTCAGAACTGAAAAGGACCTAAGACATCATCTAAGGAGTTGAGCTCTATCAGTTAGGAAATGGAAGCTCTGGCTGATTAAGCAGCCGCCCTAAGGCCAACCCTGTGTTTGAGGCAGAGGCAGTTCTAGGACCTGTTCTCTTGATTCTTAGTCAATACACCATGGCCTTAATGCAAAACTGATGTACTTTAAATTACTTTAAAAAGCTTTAGTGAGTAGAGTTTGATGTTTCTTCCTCTTAATTAAAAAGTGAGTGATGAGTGAAGTATTTTATCATTCTCTCTCTTAAAAGAAAAACAAAACAAATAGTGCATGTGTAGTGAAGATAAAACCTGCCCATTTCCTCCCTGTTCCTTATTATTCATGAAGTAGGATGCACATAGACTAAATTTAAAAAATGCTTATAAAATTCGTGAGAATTATTCAAATCTTAAAACAAATACACATTCCCCAAAACAAAAAGAACGCAGTGAAATGAAAGAAACAAAGGAGGAGCCGGAAAACCTTGGTTCATGTCCTGGGTTTGTTACAACCTAGATTTCTGACCTTGGACAACTCAATCTCTTCAGGCTTCAGGTTTTTTTTTTCTCTCTCTCAAAACATGAAGGAATTGGACGGGGGATGCCTGTTACCCTTTCCAGCTCTCAAATTTGAATATTTGGCAGGAAAAATTCTGTTCACCTGTCAAGTGGAAGTTAATAAGCCAGACAAAAGGCTAACCCATGTTTGAAATATGGCTGACTCTAGGAAGAAAGTATCAGCCAGGCAGAGTCAAGCTGCCAGTATTGATGTTCAGATTGTACACTACACAAGGGCACCCCATCTAAGAGAGTATTATTCACATTATAGCCATACTAACTTATAGGAGAGTGGTGCATGAGTGAGCACAGAGATTCTGAGCCTCCCAGCCTAGTCTTGTATCATGTGGAGTGGAGCCTTCTCATATACACACCGGTACCAGCATGCCAGACCATGCACATGCAATCACTGGGAAAGACCCACGCACCTGGCTATGTGCTATCCCAACCACACTCCAGGAGTTCCCTGAGGTGGCTTCTCTCTTTTGCCTAATGTTCTTGGAAGCCTAATTCCAACCTCCCACTCCTACCCCTATAGCTTAACTCCAAACCTGATGAAGAGGCCTCACCTGGCCGTCAGGGTTTCAGCCAGGGCTGCTGTTTGCCATCACAGGGCTGCCACAGGTCGTGCAATAATATACTGAAATAATAATATATTTTTTTTTACTTGAGGGGGGAACTCTTTTCCAATTGTCACAAAGATGTCTCAGTGGCTAGCAGTGACCATAGGCTGAGTAATATAACTGTAAGACGTTGGCAAGGCTTTGTATATCCTACACATTGACTGATCTTGTAAATTCCCAGTTAGAATTTTGTTCTTTCCACATAAACCTTTAATTCCTCTAAAGGGCAAGGCTGGTATCAGGCCCTCATGCACATTATGAATGAGTTTTAGATCCTTGCCCGAGAGGAGATTTTGATGAGAAAAATTTGGTGGAAGGTCAATGGAGAAGGGTGTATCATAGAAATGAGGAAAAAGCAGAGGCTAGGACAGTGGTTCTCAACCTTCAGCATGCGAAAAAATAACTTGGAGGGTTTGTTAAAACACAGATTGCTGTGCTCTACTTCCAAAATTTCTAATTCAGTCGTCTGGCATGGGGCCCGAGAATTCACATTTCTAACCAGTTCCCAGGTGATGCCCATGCAGTTGACCCAAAGCAATTCTTGTTAGGCAAGAAACTGGGAAGTCAGACTTTGGTACTTTGGCTGCCCTGCTGCAGTCAGACACTGATCCTGGACTACCCTTCTGAGCTCTGTGGACATCGAGCCTAGCTGGTACAGTTTTGTTCAGCGGCTGAAGGCCTCTGAGAGCCATTCCCTAGTTTAAAGGTTCTGAGCTCCTTGGCTACAAGATGCTCTCTAAACACAAAGTGCTGGCGAGTAACTCAGATGCCTGCAGCTGCCATTAGCCTTTGCCTCCGGCAGGTTTCCAGATGTAGTGCCACAGCTGGATATATTCCTTACTAAGAGAGTGGCTACACTCTCTTATTCTCAGAATTTGACTGCACAGAGCTCTCTGCTTTATTATCTCTACTTGATGACAAATTGGTGCAGCCTGAAATGCAATCTCCAGGCTATAGATAATAGATGTGAAAGCACTATGAGGAGTAAAGAGGGCTGTGCTATTGTAAGGTGTTATTATTATTACAGAGAAAAAGGAATCTATATTTGTATTGCTTTTTTTAAAAAAAAATTTGGGTTGGACAGAAACTAAATAGGGCTTGATGACTGATGAATCCTTGAGGCTATGCACGTTAAAGAAAATTATCTATCAGGCATTGGTGTTAAAGTGAAGACAGGCATTGGTGTCAAAGTGAAGACAATTAAAATAATTGTTGTTTTTTACTTGATAGCAGCCTTAGAAATAACTGTTTGGTTCTTAAACAGTCAGAAAGAGATTTTTGAAAGAGCGTAGATGGCTCATATTTCTATGGTAGAATATTTGTACATCAAGATTAAAAAAAAGTTTTATCTACATCTGAGCCAATTGGTTTATGATTAAAGCATAAAAGTCTCCCCAAAATGAGATTACAGTCAATGTCATGAGACAAAGTGTATGTGAACTGCTGTATGGAAGATGAATTGGCTCTGTAAACTTTCACCCAAATCACAATAAAATTAAAAAAAAAATCTCACCAAAATGGCCTGTCCCACAAGAGAAAAATGGATCAAGGTAAATGCAGGAAACATTTAGTGCACTACATTTCCCACCCTACATCTGCAGCCACAGACGCCTCAAGGCAGTGGGAATTGCAACCACCCACCATCACCATTAATCTCAGGGAACCTGATGCTATATCACTTAGCTATGAATAAGTGAAATGACCTAGCAGTTTCTGTAGTTAGTTAAGGGAGATGTTGCTATCATTACTTTTCTGGGGTCTGCATGCCTGCAACAGTCCCCTTGTCTTGAGTTAGTTGGAATTTTCAACCTTAAAGTCTATGAATGTTAGCTCAGAATACACTTTTTAGCTCAGAATACAGAATGTCTATGGGGTAGAGGGTGGGAGAAGAGAAAACAAACCTATTGGGTTGATGGGACAACTATAAACCCTTCATGTAGAAGGAACATTGCTCTACAGCTGCTGACAACTAAGTCTCATCACTATTCTCTACCTTTTCTTTCTAGGGTGACTGGGTGTGGTTGAAAAAGTTGCCCTCTGGAGATTTTGGCGACATTAAGTCTATCAAATCAAGTGCAGGTGATGTGTTTGAAAGGGTATGAGAAATCTCTCTCTATATATATATTCCCACTAAAATCAGTCTTTTCCTCAAAGTAACTAACACCAGCTATTTAGGAAGACACCTTTAACAAGTCTATGCAGGGAAACTGCAAGGTTGCTACTGGGTGGTACAAATATGTAGTCAAAGATATATGAGGAGTTCAAGTTTGGGCCTACCACTTAAGAGCTGTATGACTTTGGGCAAGTCACTTAAACTCTCTGAGCCCAGTTTCCATATTTGTAAAAGGAGTATATTAAAGTCTACTTTCTAGGGTTGGAATGAGTACTGAAAGAGGTAATACATGTAAAACATCTTGCACATTTCCTGGAACATAACTTCTTGGTAAAATGATAGTTATAGTGATCATTATTAAGTAAATATCCTATAAAACTCATTGCTGTCAAGTCAGATCTGATTCATAGCGACCCCTCCTTGGGTTCCCGAGGCAGTATCACTACGGGAGTAGATTGCCCAATCTTCCTTCAAAATCCCCGGTTGACAGACCTGGAAAAGTAATCTGGTAATGTATGTTTCCTTAAGAAAAATGGTTATGTCCTCAGTTTCACCAATTATGCTCAAAGAATCCTTGGATGAATTATTTAAGGAAGCAGCCTGTAGATAAGTCAGGAGTGATGACAATCTCTTCTTAGTCATTTAGAATTTTGGCTCCTCCTTGAAATTTGAGCCCTTAAAAAATTTATGGAGTATGTCTCAGGTTTCTTCTGACTCTTGAGAGTTAAATTTTTAGAGGATAATCATAGTTTTCTCCACATTTATGAAGTTGTTGTTGTTGTTGTTGTTATGTGCTGTCGAGTTGGACCTGACTCATAGCGACCCCTCCTTGGGCTTCCAAGGCAGTATCACTACGGAAGTAGATTGCCCCATCTTCCTTCCGAGGAGTGGCTGGTGCGTTTGAACCACCAGCCTTCTGGTTAGCAGTCAAATGCCTTAGACATTACACTACCAGAGCTCCCATTTATGAAGTAGGCAAGTTCAAATCAATCCAACAGGTCTGAGATACCTTCTGTATCCAGAGCACCAAATAATTGAGTAGAGACCCTGATGGTGCAAATGGTTAAGTACTCAACTACTAATCAAAAATTTGGCTGTTCCAACTCACCCAGAGGCATTTTAAAAGAAAGGCCTGGTGATCTGCTTCTGAAAGTCACAGCCTTAAAAACCCCACGGAGGACAGCTCTACTCTGCAACACGTGGGGTCTCCATGAGTCAGAATTGACTTAGCAACTTGTGGTCCAAGTGAGAAAACAAAGGAAATGGAAGAGATGAGGCCCATGGTGGACAAAACATATTCGGTGGTCAGGATGTGATATGTGGAATGATTTGGGATTTCCCTTTACATGTGGTGCCTGGAGCTAGGAAAAATAGTGAGCGATGGGGCACCAAGATCAGAGCTAGAATAATCCCACATTGGGTGGATGACTTAGGTTGCTAATCAGAGAGCTGGATCCAAAGTACAGAGCCCAAACAGGGCCAAACCTGAGGGAGCTAATAAAAATTGTTGTTGTTTGCCGTCGAGTCGGCCCCGACTCATAGCGACCCCTCCTTGGGTTTCCGAGGCAGCATCACTACGGAAGTAGGATTGCCCAACCTTCCTTCTGAGGAGTGGCTGGTGGGTTTGAACCGCCAGCCTTCTGGTGAGCAGTCAAGTGCCTTAGGCACTATGCTACCAGAGCTCCTAATAAAAATAGGAGAATGGAAATAAGCAGAGAAGTAGTGACCCCAGGTCCATTACTTTATTTTTTACTTTTGGTAACTTGTAATTTCAAACTTACAGAAAAGCTTCAAAATAATTCAAGTAACTGCTGTATACCTTACCCACATTCAGCAATTATTTACATTTTGCCCACTTGCTTTTCATTTTCTCTCTACTTATATATTTGTCTATTATTTTTTCTGAACCAACTGAAAGTAAGTTTTAGACATTGTTTCCTTTTATGTCTAAATACTCCAGTTTCCTAAAAAAGAGAATATTATTTTACATGACTACAGTAAAATTATCAAAATCAGAAAATATAACATTGATACAATACTATTATCTGAACTACTGTCCATATTCTAATTTTATCAGTGTTGTTAATAATATTAATTACAGCTAATTTTTTTTTTAACTTTTTCTTGTGATTTAGGTGAAGCAGATTTTACATTCAACAGTTCATACACATTTTCTTTTGTGACACTGGTTACATTCCCCGCAGTGTAACAGCTCTTTTCCCACTTCCTCCCTGTGGTTACCCTTTCCCTGTGCCCTTACCTATGCATTCCTGTGTCCCTACATTTCTCCCTGGGCAAATGCTGCCTTTCTGATTTCCCATGGTTGATTGTTCTAAAGAGTGCATCTCCCTGGTGTAGTTTTTTGGCTAGTAAGCCTGCCTATTGTTTGGCTGAGAGTTAAGCCATGGGAATGAGTTTAATTCCAGGCCCAAAGGGAAACCTGG